CATCGGGCATCCATGTTCTAAGCACATCAGGAAACAAACATTCACGTATATGGGGCATCTCCCCATCACCGTGGCCTGTGTTATGGAGCACAGCTCCGTGGGTGGAAAGCTAGCTCCATGAGAGTAGTAAATATTTGTATGTTGGGAGAGCCCAAAGGCCTCGGTTGGGGTTGTGACTGCATTGCAGAGCAGGTGTGGGTGCCGTACACAGCTCCATGCACCTGGTGAGGAATTGTCTCGGCAGGGTTAGTTTCATGGGTGGTTGGTTTCAAATTGAGGGCAAAGGGAAAAAGGGGAAGGACAGGCCCAGCTTGTCATCTGCCCAGTGACACCTTTTGCTTTGGTCTCTGCAGGTGGACACAGTGATGGGGATTTCCTCGGGCAGTGTGGAAGCGAGAAAGGCAGAAATTGCATTAATGGGCCGGGCTGGCAGGTAACGAGTCACTGGGTTGGAGTGGGGCCGTTGGGAACTTCCTTCAAGGCGGAGACAAGTATCTTTTGTATTTGATACCCAGGTGGAGGAGGAGCTGCCAGAGGCACGCGGGGCCTGGTGTCACAACAAGCAGAATAAGATCCTGGCAGAAAGGTGTTTGGATACGAGGGGAGCAAGGGGGCAGGAGTCCAGGCCAGAAGAGACGGTTCTGTAGCTGTTGAGGGGTCCGGGCTTGGACGACAGTTTTGGCTGGGTATGCTGGGGGCAGGCTGATGCTAGAGGAGGCATGTAAGAGAAACATCCAAAGGGAGCAGTGGCTGAACGTGCATCCTGTGTGTTCCCGTGTCTGTGCAATAGGAGCTGGTAGTGCTTTGGGTGGGGCTAGAATCCCAATCCCTGTCCCTGCCCTCCTCCTTACTGACCTCAGCGTCCGCAGCCCTTCTGGTGCGTTCAGCTCAGCGTGTGACAGCTTGAGTGTCTGGACTCTGCAATTCCCCTGGGTTAGCGGCCAGCGGGCCCCGGGGGCGGAATACTAACAGGCCCTGTGAACATTAACCTCCCCTGCTGCTGTGCAGTGCGGGGGGGCCCCCCTCCTCCCCCCCCCCTATTGGCTACTCTTAGGCCAGCCTCCCATTTGATCTCCCCACCTCATTCCTGGCTTGTTGGAGGGGCCTTTTCCTTCCTCTGTCACTGCTGTTAAACATGGCTACAAGCAAGGACAGGGCAGTTCTGCAAGCCATCTTGAATCCCAGTGCTCCTTTTGGGGATATCCTTGGGTTTGCCGAGGAAGAGGAGGCGGCAGCAGTTCAAGGGGAAGGTGAGGTTTGATTTAGCAGCAGCAGTTCTCTCTTGGGCTCAGGTTCTCGCTGGTAACTAAGGGTCTGTGATGGCTCTGATTTACCCTTCCCACTGGCGGCGGGGCTTTGCCATTGAGGCGGTGTGCGCTGGCATTGGTTAGTGAAGGGAATTGGGGGCTTTGCTGTGTAGACACTGCTGTAATCCAAGAGAAGACAGTGGAGTTACAGCAGGGAAGAATGTCGCATGGGTGTTGTGGAAAGACCCAGTGTTCCCCTGGCAGGGACTGACGGGGGGTTTGGAGGCTCGGGAAAGCTCACTAAGAGCTGAGAGGAGAACCTGCTAACTAGATGTGAAAGGAAGGTATTGAGGCCTACCCAGAATGTGTCAAATGAGCACCAGTTTAATTGTAAGTGTAAAGGAAAGGTTTGTAGGGTATTTACTGTGCCTTCTAATTTAGTTATTGTGTTTCTGGCTTTTTTTTAACCAGGGCTAAAGTACACGGACCCCTTTATTTGGATCCCATTTGTCGGCAGTTAATTTTTTCTTTTCTCTAGCATATCTTATAAGGTCCTCTAGTACCTCTCCCATCAACTTGTCAGTTGTTTGACTTGGCAATTTTAATATTTCTGGGGTACCCCCATTTCGATACGGATCTGTCGTATCGGCTGTTCTTTCTAATATGTTTTGCAGTTTTTTATAATCTGTTTGTTTCTTTAAATGGGGTTTTTTGTGTTACATCTGGTAATGGTACTTTGCAATCTTTTAACTCCCATTTCGCTAGATCATTATTAACTATTAAATATCTCAACCCTGAATGTTACATGTAGGGTATATGTATGATTTTCTTCCTTTATTGCTAGAACTGCTCGTATTTTGAGCATGTTTTCTTCACTCTCATCCTTATTATGATATAATTAGTGGTTGAGAGGGCTTATACCTTCTGTTTTGTTTAACTTATTAAAGGGGCACCCTCTGCTCTTGTCAAATCCTGTTCATGATGCCATTTCGGTAAACGGGTTTGGTTCTTTAAAGGATTTGAAACTACAGACAGAGGAATACTTCTTTTTAGAGTCAAATAAAGATTTTTTATTTTTTCTATTTCCTTTATAATTAATTTTCCATTTAAATCCATTCACTATTTTTGATTCTTTTAAGACAATAGAATATACAAAGAAAAAGTAGAAAAACAGTACAGTTTAAAAAAAAAAGAAATAACTTCTAGTACAGGTATACCCTACCCTCCTGATTTACCTTTAAACAATTTATGGAGTTAACAAATATATAATACTCACGTTAAGAAAGATAGAAGCATTGCTTAGATTCAGGAGATATTCTTTTCTTTATGTTTTTCCTTTTTTTTTTGGATTTTTTGTTGCAACTTACGACCTGTGTTGTTCCCCTTTAAGAGCTTATTTGTTCCCCTTTCGGTGCTTACGTGTAGCAGCGAGATTCAGCGTCGGGGAGGGAGCTCTGGTTTATCAGATCTAGCTTTTTGGATTCGTAGCCCGTCCGCTCATGGTCTGTTCCATCCAACCTTATATACCCTGTTTCGGTATTTGGTATCCTCCACTCGCCTGACAATTGCTGACGTTAGATTTTTGTTGTCTCATTCTGCCCTTACAAAAACTTTCATCTGCTCCATTTGGGGTAATCAGCACTTTGTTGCATACTGCTGTCTGAGTTACTTACTTCCCTAAAAGTGGGGTTATTGTTGGTCATCCAATCAAATTTTGTTTTAATTTTTATCTCCTGTATCTCACAATGCTGCCTTTCCTTTACACTTATAATTAAACTGGTGCTCATTTGACATATTGGGTAGGCTTCAATACCTTCCTTTCACACTAGAAAGACAAGTCAGGTGGACTGACCCAACCTTTCTGGGACTGGGGTCCATGCTCATTAGCACTGGAAAGCTCTTCTCAGCCCTGGAAGGGAAAATCTCTGCAATGAAAACCAAGTGGTGCAAGAGAGCTGCCTGCTTGCCCCCTGCCATGCTGCACATCTGTCACCTTGGCTTTGTCTGTGCGTAACTGTTTTTAAAGTGCAGCTGTGACAGTGCGTTAAACTGAGTGTGTGGCCATGGCATGAGTGCTGGAAGCTCTCCCAGTGTGCCAGGTAAACCACCTCTGTGAGGGGAGTGGCTAACAGTAGCCTGGTTCACACTGGTGCTTAACTTGCTGTCTTTGGGAAGGAGGGTGTTTTTTCACACCCCTGAGAGTGACAGTGCTGTAAAGTGCCAGTGTAGACTTGGCCTTAGATGAAATGTCACCAGGGGTCTTAGCATCTGTTACTCTTTGCTGGGAGTCAGGGGAGGGGCCTACAGACCAGGACCAGAATGACAGCAAGTAGAAGGCTTTAGCCAATACCTGCCTCATCAGCTTCAGCCTGCTTTCTACATTCAGGCAGTTACTGAAGCATCTCTTGGCCAGGGATACTCTCCTGCCAGGAGCATCAGTACAGTTGGCTTGAGAGGTACTTGTGCAGGCTTCTCAGGCCACGTCGCCTTTCACGAGTTGCACAATTGTTACAAATAACCAGGGAGTCTGGCCTGGACCAAGGTGCTGAGAGGACCCCACTAGACCTGTCCACAATACTTTTCTAATTCACCAGGGAGCAGTTCAGACACTGGCTGTGGGCCAGGCCTAAGGCACTTTGCGATGAGATTCGTGGGCAGCGAGTTTAGGTGAAAGGGCAGGTGCGGAAGTTACACTGCTTGTTGGATTGAAGTGTGGCCTGCTGCTGCCCAGCCTGCATACGTACCTGAGTAAAAGTGTCAGGTCGGAATGTGCTATCTCAGCAACCCACTGACATGCTGCTCTGCCCCAAGAAACCTGAGTCCCATCAGGAAACCTGAGTCCAAGATTAGCTCAGAGGCCTCATATTAATCCCAGGTCCTGTGGGCTCCCCTGTCCTATGTCTGGTGATGGTGAGACTCTTCCTTCAGTGTGCCCTGGTCTGGTACAAGGGATCACCTGTCCTCAGCTGGGTGTCTGCTCCATAAATGAGGCTTTTCCTTCACACATGTCACAGAAGGAGCTTTCACCTCAGAGCTACTGGAGCAAGTCAAAGAGCTGGAGCTACAGGGGGTTTTGGCAGCTGAATCTGGAGATGTGAACAGAGCCCTCGAGAAATTCAGCCAGGCCATTCAACTCCTTCCAGAGCGAGCCTCGTGCTACAACAATCGTGCCCAGGCCTTCCGTCTCAAAGGGGACGTGGCAGGTACTTGAGATGGGGAGTTGTGCCCATGACACATGGGTGGGCAGTTACACTTGGGGAGGGCTGCAAACAGATGGGTCTGATTGGTTCTAGCAGTGACTGAGCCAGTCTAATGGACAAGCACAATCTATGTGAATTGCACACAATAGTGGAGCAAATCTTCCCTTCAGTTCTGACTTTTAACCCAATAGTTCATGTGACTTCCCTGAGACCCATGATCTTCTTTTGGGGGTTCTGAAATGCCCCAATTTTTTCAGTCCCATTGTTTGTTCCAATGTGTAGCAATACTGGATGGAATTTGCTCTGTATTTACCAAGAGCAAACTTGCAGGGCAAAGAATGGGGTAGGATGAGAGGAGACACTTCTGGAGTTGCTGTGGGCTCAGTGAATGCTCCTGGTTCTTGGTGTTCCATAGCAGGTAAATTCAGAACACGTTCCTGTGAAAAACCCTCCCATCTGAGAACCTGCCCAGGTTGCGGGTGGATCAGAAGCTGGAGCACAACACAAAAAGTGGGTATTTTGTCTACTGAACGAACATTTCCTGAGCCTAAACAAGCCCCTCAAAAGGACCCTGTTTTTAATTTTGAAAATGTGGTTATAAGATCCCAGCTGTGAGAGTCTGTAGGTGGCTGTGGTCACTGCCCTGCAGCCTGTCGAATCAAAAGGGATGATACTTATTCTTTCAACGAAGGCAGTGGGAAGTTCACTGTGCTGTGCATAATAATTATGCGTCTAAAACCCCCAGAATCTCGCAGCTGAGTCCCAGCACGTTGCACTGACCAAGGCCAGATGGAATTCACCTTCTTTCCCTTCTGCCTCCAAACAGGTGCCCTGCAGGACCTGGACACAGCCCTGCACCTCAGCAGGGGCACAGGCCATGTGGCATGCCAGTGCTTCGTGCAGCGAGGCCTCCTCAGTCTGCTGCAGGGGCACAAGGATAAGGCCAGACTGGATTTTGAGCAGGCAGCTGGCCTGGGTAGTGCCTTCGCTCGGCACCAGCTGGTCCTGATGAACCCGTATTCAGCACTCTGCAACCAGATGCTTTCGGAGGTGATGAGAAAGCTGCAGAACCCAGACATCCAGGGAAGCAACTAGAGCCAGTCTTTCCAGGCAAGGGTCAGCTGGGAGTGTCCCGGGGAGAGGGTTGCCGATAAATCGCTCTGCTGGGCCAGGCCAATAGGATGCCCTCCACCTGGGCCATCTCCATTGGTGCACCCTAAGAAATGGCTGATGTTTATGGGGAAGTTTGTCTTCCTCAGTGCCTGAGGCATCTCAGTCCTTAGTGCAGACCATATTCTGTCAGACTAAGATCTGTCACAGGCTGGTTCCTAGATGAGACCCCCAGGCAAGAGTCATGTGGCAGACACTTCCCAGGTGATGGGCCCCTGTGTACAAACCAGACCATGCCCCTTCCTTCCCAGAAGCTTTTGTTGTTTCTAGTAAAGCTCTAGAATCTTATGAGCGGATCGGCTGTATCAGAATGGCACCCTGTTGTGGACATGGCGCCCCTGTGGCTGTTCCTGAGACTTGCTGCTCCAGAGAAGAGCTGGCCGGACTTCAGCAATGCTCTCCCCTATCCCAAATAAACTCTCTACTTTGACTGGTACTGGCTGCAGTTGTCTGGGTGTAATGAGTGTGCTTGTCACTTTTATGTGCAAGTAGTAATGAGAGAGTGCTATGAAAACCCCTCCCCTGCCTGCCCCTCTAGCCAATGTTGTCATCCTGTTCTCTTCCCTAGGCCCTTGTTCACATTTCACTCTGCTGGGGCCTGGAAATAGACCGGCCTGTGTTCAGTGACCAGCGCAATGAACTGGGTCTTTGGGAACTGGATTCAAGTCCCTGCTCCATCCCAGACTCGGATCCTGGGCGAGTCACTCCGTCTTTCTGCCCCTGGTGGGCTTGTCCCTTTCAACAACTGGCATTTTGAGGCAAGGTCTGGCTGTGTACCTAGCACAATGGGGACCTTTAGGTACCCATGCTGGAAGTGACTGACTACACCCCCTACTTGCTTATGAACTCCCCAGCAGGTGCTCAGCCAGGTGCCTCCAATGCTGACAGCCAGGGCCTGGCTAATCTCAAATGTTTCTCACCTGATACCTCTGGAAACATCACCTCTGCCGCTGGGCTGTTCAGTTTGTTTAGAGCAGCGGTTCTCAAACTTACTTTTTGGGCGCGGGAGCCCTTTACGTGCCTACAAATGTGTGCGGAGCCCCAGCGGTCGGTCCCTGATTGTACGTGTTTACCTCTCAGTGTGTCCAGCTTGTCAACCTGGCGGAGCCCCTGGAGATGTTTTAGGGGACCCAGGTTTAGAGACTCCTCCCAGGAGGTGGCAGGTTCAATTGCAGGTGCAGTGAAGCCTCCCCTGTCCAGCCGCACCTGCTGCACTGCCCAGGGCTCCCGCAAGCCCCGGGCCTTTGCCACTGACATCGGACCTGTACGCGGGCGGGCCGCTGCGCTCGCAGCAGAGCCCCGGCAACCCGAACTAAGAGAAGCGTTCACACGGGCCGGTGGCAGAGGAATGGACTGAAGTGGGTTCCTGTCCAGCCGCACCTGCTGCACTGCCCAGGGCTCCCGCAAGCCCCGGGCCTTTGCCACTGACATCGGACCTGTACGCGGGCGGGCCGCTGCGCTCGCAGCAGAGCCCCGGCAACCCGAACTAAGAGAAGCGTTCACACGGGCCGGTGGCAGAGGAATGGACTGAAGTGGGTT